TGGGAGTAAGGCCACAGGTGGACGGTGAATGGCCCCTCCCAGAGGAAATAAAAGAAGAGCAGGAGTGGAGTTTGCAGGAGACCATTAGTTCATTTCATTGGTTGGTGACTCTCCGACGCTCCTGGCCAAGTTTTGCAGATCTCGGCTTGGCAGCTCTCCAAGTCAGATGAGGGCTGTGACTGTAAATCCTCCCTTGAAAGACTTTGCCGGATGGGAATGAGCGGAATTCACAGTCAATTAATAAAAGGGGTTTTTGTCGAGATAAGGAGTTGGCTTCATGCTCTCGGGAAGCCTCGGTCAGAACAGGTTTGCCTGGAGGGAATCCAGGCGAACAGCAGCTCCAGAAGGAGCCGTTTTCAGCCAGACTTCCTTCCCCTTCATGGGCTCTGAGCCTCTGACACGGGCTCTCTTTTCCGTCCTACGTCGGTTTCTTCTGGTTCGACATGGCCCAAGAAGAGAGAGCGAAAGAGAGAGAGAGAGGCCCCCGAAGTTGCCTCCGCTGGAGTGGGGAGCAGCTGTCCTCCCACACAGTCCCAGCTGTACCTGCGTCATTTCTCCCCTCTAAAAGAAGTGCCTGCAAGGGCCTTGGAAGCGCTACATCCAAGCCTTGAATCTGCTGCCCCAAGATGTCCTTCACTGGTCCTTCAAGCTGCCCAGAAGTGTCCCTGAGGGCTCCTCCTCTGCTGAGAAGCAAGGCCAGGCCAGGAGCAGGCCATGGGCTCCTTGCCGTCACCCTCTGGAGATAAAGCAGAGCCCAGGCTGGAGAAGGTCCGTCGTGACCTTCTCAAGCATCAAGAAGAACCTTCAGCATTGAGGCATCGACCCTCAAGCCACTTCGGAGGAGTGCTTGCCCCAACCCACAGGAGCCATGGGGAGATCTGGGATCTGCCTCCACCCCCTCTCAACCCTCCTGGCCCCGGTTCCTCTTTCCACCGGCTTTTGGCTCCTGAGAGGTTCGGAGTTGACCTGGAGGACAACGAGGCCCAGATGACTCTCTCCCAAGGAAGAGTCGACCCACCAGTGGCTATTCAGTCCAGTGTTGGGCTTGGGGGGGTCTTGGTGGGGCCAGCCTGACTATCCAGAAGACGTGTGTCCTCTGGCTCTGCCGGATGAGTCATCCCTGGCAAAACACCCCAGGTGACCTTCAGCCGAGACGGGTGGCCTCATCCGTGGGAACTCCCTGGATGGCCGTTAAAGAGAGACACGCCTCCTTTGTGGGTTCCAGAGCCTTCGAGAAGCAAATGTGCTTCGCTTTCCTTGGCTCTAACATGCTTCTTTTAAAGCAGGAGCTAAATGTCATTCAAAGCCCACCCCCAAANGGGGGCAAGGGAGGACTGCTCTAAGGGCTAAAGGCAGCCCATCTGCCTGTCTTTCTGGGGCGGCTCCCCCACACCAGCCCAGCTCCCCAGGGACACTCACGGGGTTCCAGAGGGCCAGCTGCCTTTCGCTCATGCGGCTGAAGCCCGTGGTGAAAACATTCCCGTCCGAGAGGAAGATGGCTCGGATCGGCCGGGCCCCTTCGTGCGCCTTCTCTTTCTCCTGGAGGGGGGGGGAAGGATGGAAAGGGGGGGGAAGTGTGTCATATTCCAACAGCACAAAACGATCACAACTTTCGGGCTTTCCTCCCAGGCAGACAACGTGAGGACCAGGATGCTGGGTCTGGGGACTCTACCAGGGATCAGCACATTCTAAAGAAACCTGCATCAGAAGGGGAAGAATCCTCCCTAAGGCAGGCTCCTCCGTGTCGGCTGGGAACCATGGGAGAGCTCCAGGGGGAAGAAGGCTGCCATCACAGGTGAAACTGGCGTCGAATTTAGTTCTCTGATTTTACGAGGGGTGGAACGAAGGGCTGGCTCACGTTCGCAAGACAGGCGTCCGGAAACTCTCCTCCCTGCAAAGGTTGCCCCCGCCCAGCTTCACCTCGGGGGGGGGAGGGAGGGAGGGGGAGAGACCCCTGGAGACCCACCGCCATGATTTCCTGCTTCCTGGGGTCGATCACGCGGACTTTCTTGTCCTTGGAGGCCGTGCAGATGAGGCTGCCGTTGCGGTTCCAGCTGACGTTGTAGATCATGTCTTGGTGCATGTCGTCCAGGGTGATCAGGGGCTCCCCGGTGCCCACGTTCCAGATGAGGATGGCGTTGTCACAGCCTGGAAGGGGGGGGGAGGAGGAGGAGGAGGAGGAGGAGGAAGGGGCCCCAGTAACTGCCTGCTGGCTTCAGGCCCAGGACTGCCTCTTCCGCAATTCCCTCGAAGGCCTTTGAGGGCCGCGGACCAACCGACCCTCACCCCCAAAGTCACCCCAACCCTCACCCCGTTCCTTGGCCCTACCTGCGCTCAGCAGCACGTTGCGGGCGGTGGGGTGCCAGGCTACGATGCCCACTCGTTTGGAGTGGCCCTCTAGGATGACCACCGGCTCCGTCAGGGACAGCGTCAGACCGTTCTCTGGGATCTGCCAGACCTGCCAAGAGAAGGAAGGAGACCAAGAGGGTGACTGGACCCCTCAGGAAGGCTGAGGAAGGGGAGGTTTTGCCGTGGCCTGCCAGTGGTCAGTGGAGCTGGTGGCAGACTCGGACAGTGAGGAGGGTTGGGGAGGAAGATGGGCCAGTCCCGGAGTCTGGGGAAGGCTCTGAGGAGGGCTCTGTGTCGGA